AGTGGCTGCAAGGGATTGGGGAGCACTGTCGAATGTCGATGTCTTCGAGAGAGCGAGAGAGAGAGAGAGGAGGAGGAGGAGAGAGAGAGGGAGGAGGAGAGGAAGGGAGGGAGGGAGGGAGAGAGAGGAGAGAGTGAGAGAGGGGAGAGGGAGAGAGAGAGAGATGGAGGGAGGGAGGGGAGTGAGGGGAGAGAGGAGCGGAGAGAGGAGAAGAGAGGGAGAAGAGGAGAGAGGGGGAGAGAGAGAGAGGGGAGAAGTGGGAGGGGAGAGAAGGAGAGAGAGAGAGAGGAGAGAGGAGGAGGGGGGGGGGGAGAGGAGGAGAGAGGAGAGAGAGAGGAGGAGAGAGCGGAGAGGAGAGAGGGAGAGCGAGGAGAGGGAGCGAGGAGAGAGGAGGGGGAGAGAAAAGAGAGAGGAGAGAGAGGAGAAGAAAGAGGAGAAGAGAGAGAGAGGAGAGAGGAGAGAGAGAGAGGGAGAGAGGAGAGAGAGGAAAGAGAAAGAGGGGAAGAGAGAGGAGAGAGAGAGAGGAGAGGAGAGAGGAGAGGAGAGAGAAGAGAGAGAGAGAGGAGGAGAGAGGAGAGAGAGGAGGAGAGAGAGAGAGAGAGAGAGAAAGAGAGGAGAGAGAAAGAGAGAGAGGGAGAAAAAATGAGTGGGAGATCAGTCCCACGCACAAGGGGGAAAAGCTCAAATTATTGAGCGCTCAACATATTGAGCGTGTGACGTCAGAGGCTCCCATAGGCGTAATGCTGAGGGCTCAAAAATTGAGCCGTTTCAGGAACACGTTTTGCAAAAGCAACTCGCAACACCTAGGGAGAAATGGCAACACCCTAGGAGAATCACTAATGATGCAAAACAGATTATGCTTTCATATTTTTCACTGCTCAAGCTTCAATGATTGGGGGAACACCAATTTATAGGTCGAAATCTTACGGCATACCAGGATGACTTAAAAACAGGCCAATATTTATGTCGAAATAAAAGTTATTTTTTGTCCATTCGCGTTTTTTACTAGGGTTCTGTTGGAAAGAGCATTTTTCATACTACCCAAAATGATTGCGACTCAATTTCACATTACTGATATCGGAATATTTTTCATTTGGCGGCGCCGTTTGTTTATTTCGTCGCGACGTCTCCGGTCGAGTGGCTGTCGTCGTCCTCGTGTTGAAGGTAAGTTTTTATCGTTTTAGTGATATTTAGATGTTAAAAGGTACACTGAAAAGTTTGAATATGCTGTGATTTTAAATTTGGAAACACGTTAACGTCAATCAATTCACGTTTTCCTCGATTTGCGTGCAGATAAGTAACTGTCGACGAAAGTGGCGCCATCCGATATGATGTTTTGAAGGAAGGAGACGCAACATATTTACGTGAAAATTTTTGTTTTTTAGTGGTCTAAGTGCTTCAAAGAGGCTGTGAATGTTTTCTTCACACAATTTTTCATTAGATATGATGAGGTAAAAGGTAGTTTCAGTCTTAACTTTCATATAATTGACATTAAAACATATGATAGTCCACTCCTATCAGTGATTGAGTACCTTGATATTTGGCATTTCTTATTAATTTGAATGTATTCTCTATCCATATGTCCTGATAGTAAGTGACAATACTCTGCCAATAGTTTCCATAGTTTTCACATTATTTTCAAGTCCTTTACATAACATCACAATTTATAATCAACAAAACTCAACTCCTTTGTTACTTCACAACACTGACCGCATGAGAGACTGACAGTCAACTATTGTGTGTGTGAATGCTGAAACAGGATAGCCACTTTGCTGACTGGCTCATATGAAATAAGATAAAAATGATCCTTTATATCATTTCCATCTGGAGGATTCGGAGTCAACGGAAAAGGGAGGCCACTTTCAAGCCTCAAGGTCTAGGCCGCCAGACGCCAGTCGACAGTCACCACCAAATTTATAATAGATTAATTTATTATTATACTTTTAGACCCTTAGGTCACTGGATCGGCATCACATTTTCAGTTTCAATATAGTAAAGGTTTTTATTTGTATGATGTGAAATTTTCATTATCCCTAGGTACCTGGTAGAGGTTTCGGATTTAATGCTAATTGTTGGTGTGCAGTCAGGATTTTTTGACAGGTCCAGATAAGGAATCTTGAGCAATTTTATAGTAAAGTGGTCTCCTTATAATCACCACACATTTTATCAAAAGCATTTGCAGAATTCATTCAATGAAGAATTTTATCAATGTTGCACCCATTTCTTAGACGACCTAGGCTGCATCTTTTTTTAGTTCCTGTTGTATGACATATTTTCCATTTTGTTCCACTGCATAAAGAAAAAATCGTTTGAGATCACCAAACAGGTTTTCTTTTTCTGGCAGGTCTGCACAACCAAGCGGTCGCTGGCGAGGACGTCGGCCGTCCCTGTGGGTAAGGTCATCTGCTCAGCCTTTGTGGAGATCAGCAAGACGTCACCAAGATGAAGACTTCGCTGGAGCAGAAGCCGCTGACCCGTGTCCGATCGGGCAGGCCATGCTCGACGGCACGAGCCACAACTTGAAGGACTCGGTGACATCAACAACATGGTGGAGCAGGTGAATGAGTTTGGCGAGGTGTTGTGCGACTGCAAGAAGGGTTGTCTGCGTGTTCTGGCCGGCGGAGCGGCGACGCTGCGCAGTCTGTGCTGGCGGTGAGCAGCTGGCCGTGGTGACCGCGCGCGCCCACATGCGCCGACAACCTGTGCGGCTTCGACGGCCCCGGGACAGCCCGATGCCGCCCACTATGCGACGCCGACCGCGCACTGATTAGCTTAGTCCGAGCTTAGGTCGTTTATATCATTTGTTATATGGCATATTTTGGATCAAAGCAGTACGACACTGCCTCCTGCTTTTGTGATGTATGCTGGCAAGACGCAGTTTCCGGTCGCAGGTCACCCGGTTCCAATGTGGTCGGGCTGGCATGCGATAATGTGATGTTGTTTTGCTCGTCTCTGTGTTCCACACTTGATGATGTTTGTGAATCTAACCCACATTGTATACCTAGTATTTTTGTTTGTTTGCGGCCGATGGCCTTGTAAGTTGTAACCGTGGCAATACAGTTTTTCCTGCTATAATTCTCCAATATTCAAGCGTGGGTGGATATCTTTCTGTATTCACGTATTCCCTTCTCCCAGTACAGTCAGAGAATATCAATACAGTATTCATACGGATTATTCAAGCCCTGTATAATCATTTGAGGTGTGCCGAATCCGAAAGGCGACCGATAAAACTACTAGCGGAAAATGTGACATGATGCCATGGGTTTGTGAGAAGTTCAGGTACCACGTAGTATTAAACTTCCTGCATTTCTGTTTCAACTCAGTTTAACGTATTTCAACGAACATAACATCAAAAATGGCAGCCAGTACCGGCTTCACCTGTCACGGAGAACGCTCAAAAATTGAGTGTAGATGCTGGCCGGCACTCAATTTTTTGAGCGCCAGCTGACTGTCGTCTGTCGTGGCGCTCAATTTATTGAGTATCGCGGTCCCGAACGACAAGTGGCGCTCAAAAAGTTGAGCGTCTTTAGGGCATTTTCTTTCCAAAAACACCGATATAAATTATCACGGCGAGTGTTCGAGAAGAAACCTTGTTGCTCTCTCTTGCCATTGATACCTTATTTGGATACGATATTTGCCGTAGTGTGACGCTAAAGGCATTTTAAATTACCATCGTTTCGCCTATTCCTTCATAATGGGGCCCGCTCAATTTTTTGAGCGCTCAATTTTTTGAGCTTTTCCCCCTTGTGCGTGGGACTGAGATTAAAAAAAACGAAGTAATTTTGCAGAGAGGGGATGGTTAGAGCCTGGAATGCTTAGAATATGGCGATGTTTTGCCGCCAATTCACCGGACTCTGACACAGTCGTAACCCCGTAGAGACACTCACCCACTGCGTCGGAGCCGTAAGTCGGAGCCGCCGGCGCCGCGGTCGGCGTGGCGTCGGAGGTCGCACGAGCCGAGTATGTCACCTGTGGCCGACTGGCGCGAGATTAGCCGAAATTAGGCCCCACTCTGACTCTGACAGACGACCCGGCAGACCGGGCCGGCGCGGAAAATGGACGCCCGGGTGGATTTAGACTGTCCAACTGGCTGAGACTTAAGACCGCCGTGACTTGAAGCCACATGCAAGCTGAGACGATGAAAGTAGGTTTTCGTAACTCGGAGCTGTAAATAATTGACATGTTGTTTGCGTGTGGCTTATTTATCAGCAATATAGGTTGGCCAACAGCCATCACCGCTCAATGCAAGTTCAGAAGCTGTCAAGAAGAAACAGCAGATGCCACATGGCCCCACAAAACCATTAACGAGCTTTGTGACATCTACTATAGTTAGCACGAAGCCCGCACAGCAACAGCACATCGGGATCGAAGACCGACGGGCGACGACCGATCCCAGCAGGACTGACGGTCACGGTCAGCGCTCCCTCGGCCGTCGGCGACGGACGCGACGCTAACTATCGGAGCTCAGCCGACGACCGTGACTGATTGGCCATGGCCTTCCTCGGCCGGCCGTCAGCAGCGACGAACCTGCCCGTCGGCAACGACGACCTGCCCGTCGGCCGAGGGCGGAGCCGACGCGACGCCCAGGTGAGCCGAGAGCGCGCCGTCGAGACCGACGCCACTCGCCGTGCGAGCCGGCCGCCGCGCTGGCGTCCTCGCCGCCTCGGGGCCTCGGAGACAGGTGGAGAGAGGGCTGAGGAACTCGCCGGTGCTGGGGCTCGCTGGACGTTAGGGTGGCCGAGCGGAGTCGCTGGGAGAGCGGGGAATACGAGCGGTAAGCGGCCGGGGCGGTGTGGCTGTGACGGACACGAGTGAAGCAACAAGTGAGTGAGGGACTGGCGATGGGCGGTGAATTTTAAACGTCCCAGTTCGGACCCGTAAATATCCGCTTCTGTCCTCTTTTTTCGCACCTTCCTAGCCTCACCAGCTGCCGTTCATCCTAAGTGTTTCCTCCTCAGGAGCATCGTGTCTTCCTCGCCCCTCCCGTCGCCTCCGTCGCGATGCATCGTAACGTGTCGGTGACGACCCACCTGCTCCATCCCGTGTCGCCGCCGCTCTGGTTTCGCGCCGTGTTCTACGCGGCGTTCGCAGCCTGGGTGGCACTGCAGGCGGCCACCGAGTACTTCACCATCACGTCCCTCTACACCTACACGCACCTGCCGCTCTTCGAGTCCGAGAAGCAGGTCAACTCGGCCTTCCTCAACATCGTCGCCGTCGGTCTGCTCACCGTGTTTGTAGTGCTGACGTTCATTTACGGCGTGGTCGCCAAGAGCAAGCTGGCCGTGCTAGCCAGCGCCGCCTTCCTCGCCAGCCTCATCATCCTGAACGTGCTGGCCGTCGGCATACTCATGTCCAGCAAGGTGAGACCCTGGCCGACGAACCATCAATGGGAGTGGAGGGATAGAAGTCTTTTGTCACTGTGGGTGTGAGGCGGGACAAGAGATCAGGGACACTTGGGAGTGGGAACCTGAAATTTGGGACATTGCATCGCTCTTGTGACTTTTGGCTGAGCAGAGGCTACATAAATGTTACATATAATTGTTCAACAACTTTGCAGTTTGTTTCGCTCGCGACTGTAGACAAATTGAATGTCGTTTATCGTATTCCCCACTGAATTGGTAATGGTTTGCGACAAACAAAATATGTGAAGTAACGTGCATATGTAACGGCTACTATAAAACATAACGGCTACATTTTTTTATAAACATTAAGCAATTTGCAGCTTTAAGTATGTCTGACGTTTTAAAAGATGCCATCAGTCGTTTGATTTATTCCGACATTCAATATAAATTTTGGAGAAAGAAGTCATTCAGCCTATCTCTTAACCCTTGAAATTTGATTAACCATTTACTTAGTTCAAACTTTAAAAACGTCTAAGGTCTAACTAGTTACTTCGTTATTCAGATTCTATATCGTTGCATATGTATATATATATAGTAACAATAATAGCAAAATTGACCCATACCCAATACCCATCCATATGACAACCTAACGATATCATCATTAGGCACGCAAAAGAAAAAAATGCGTCGGTACGAGATAAAAATAGTCAACCGCCCGCTGGTAAAAAAAGACGTCTTTTGTAAATTGTCAATACCAGCTGTCGTTTAATTGCTGAACTACTTGTTTAAAAAATGCATGAATTGAGCCGACTATTTTTTTTTATTTAAGTGTTTGATGAAGACCTCGTATACAGAAAAAATGCAGTTGATAAAAACTTCCGATCTATTGAGCATCCAGATCATTTCTCATATTGACCATTCTTAACCGGTGTCTTCGTATTATGGTCTCTTTGTTTACCCAAGGCTTGAATTGGGAACAAGATTGATAACAACATAACAAGATTGACCAATGAGTAATGACCATCTTTAAATCGCTCATGTAGACTTATAATAAGCAGTACGGCCCACCGAAACTGTATCGTAGTGCAGAAATATATGTATGTAGAGCAGGGGTGGGTACATCGCTGGCATAACGATCTCGGATCAAAACCAACATGGCCGTAGGCCGTAGCAACACAGAAAGGTCGGTCACGAAGAACTAATGCAATAAAGGAGATTACCAAGACCAATGTCCAACTGAAATCACGGTTTGCCATTGGATGTATATGAAAATCGATACGTATGTAAGATCCATAATATCGTCATTGATTGATTGATTGATTGATTCATATTTTATTTATAGAAGCATTTTCACAGTCATACATTTACACGGATTGGTGCAGAAGCGACAAGCGCTTATCTCTAAGCACCTCTCCCAGTTCCCTACAAGGTAGGAGGCACGACCACCGCCCCCGACCGCCCAGCCAGCAGACCAGAAGCAGAGCCGCCCGTCGCCAGTCCGCCTTTTTTATGCTTAGAGAAATTACTTCCAAAAGCGTGCTTTTTATATGAACCTACCAGTGCCAATGATATAATTTTGAATGGCCCTGACCAGCTCCCCGCCGCCGCCGCCGCCAATACCTTGACCCTCTAGGAGAATTTCGAGTTGTCTTCTAAAAGAAAAAGCGTCAAAGTCGTGGAATACAGTGGAGACAGAGTTAAAAAGAAGCGTCCGTTCGTCAGCGTAAAGAGGGCAGTGCAGCATAAAGTGACGTGAGTCCTCCCAAGGATGACCGCACTGACAGGCCGCATCTTGGGTGTCCTTAGATAAAACTGTGAAGAGGTGTGCTTTTAGGGTGGACATGTGCAAACGAAGTCTAGTGTGGAGAGTGTTGCCTAGCTTGGATCCTGAGGAGAAGAAAGGGTTGGGCTGGGGACAGAAGTGCTGTCTTACTTCATTGGAAAACTTAGAGCGTGATCGGATCTGACGGATATGTTCGGGGAGGGAATTCCAGGATCTGGTAGTTTCAGGGATGAAGGATCGCTGGAAACAGGATAGGCGGTTTTTCGGGAGCGTGAGCAGTGATGAGGTGCGGAGGTTGCGTTGAGTCGAGTCCTGGCGCGTCGGCGTGATTAGGTCTGTTACATAGGCAGGAGTTGATGGCGGTGGATGGCGGAGTTGATGGAAAAATGTCAGTCTGTGAGTCAGTCGTCTTGTCGTCAGTGTTTCCCACCCCAGGTCCTTATGCAACTTGTCAGTTGGAGATCTGTAAAGGGCACCAGTCACTAGTCTCGCCGCTCTGTTCTGTAGTTTTTGGAGTCTGAAGATGTCTGAAGTCGTCAGGTGTCCGTCGTACACTATGTCGCAGTAGTCGAAAAGTGGTCGAATGTAAGTAAAATAAATGTCATTCAATACTTGTCTTGGCAAGTATTTAGCGACAGGATAGATAGGGCTAAGTGCTCTATTTACTTTAGTTACAACTTTGTTCACATGTTCGTGGAAGCGTAAGTCAGTCGAGAACGTCAGTCCTAGATGTGTGTGGCTAGATGAAGTTGGGATCCGTTCACCTCCAAAAGTCAGCTGTAGTGTCTGTGTGTCTTGTCTTGTGGTGAATGTCTGCTGCTGTGTCTTCTGTGGGCTAAAATGAATTCCCCATTTATCGCCGAACTGTTTGATGACATCGAGGTCGCGCTGGAGAGACTGCTGGTGTTCGAGTGAATTTCGCGGGTGAGAGGAATAAAGAGAGGTGTCGTCAGCAAAGAATAAAATTTGGTTTTCAGTTAAATTAGATAGATCATTAAGGTAAATAAGGGCTAAAAGGGGTCCGAGGACCGACCCCTGGGGGCAGCCAGCCTTAATCTTCTGCCAGTCAGAGAATGTGTTTCCTATTCGCACTCTTTGTGTTCGATCAGTAAGATAAGATTTTAACCACTCCAAAATGGCTCCAGAAATGCCACACTGCGCTCTGCACTTATATAAAAGACCCTCATGCCAGATTCTGTCAAAATATTTTGAAATGTCAAGGTACACGGCAGTAAAATCTTCGTTGTTGTCCAGTGATAAAAATAATTTGTGTGAGAGATAAATCAACTGCATTTGGGTACTATGGCCTGGCCGGTAGCCACTTTGCTTATCGGAAAGGATGTCATTTTCCGATAGATGTTTGTATATCTCCTTAAAAACTAGTTTTTCAAGAATTTTGGAAGTGCATGATAAAAGACTAATTGGGCGATAGTTGGTGGGTTCTGAGTTTGAACCTTTATTTTTGAAAATGGCAGAAACGTTGGCCTGTTTCCAGATTGTAGGGAAGTACCCTGAGCTGAGGGATTTATTAAAAAGTTTCGTCAGAGGTTCATAAATAAGTACAGCACAGAGCTTTAAAAGTTTACTTGGAATTTTATCAGGCCCTGTAGATTTGTTTGCATCCAAGGAATTTAAAGCTCTTAAAACATCTGGAGCTGACACCTGAATATGATTGAGGATTGGGATACCAGTGAGGTTGGGTGAGATCTGTGGGGTAGTTAGGTTTGATGTGTCAAGATGAGTTTGTTGTGCAAAATAAAAATTAAGTGTGTTTGCCTTTTCCAAATCATTTGTTGTTAGTGTTCCCTCTGTTCCCATAAGGGGTGGAATGGTTAGTTGTTTGCTGGTCCCAGTCATATTTTTCAAAATTTGGTGATATTTATGGGGGTCTTTTTTGTTAAGAAGAAGTTTGTTGACTTCCTTCTGCATGTGTTCAGAATTCAGATTTTAGTCGTCTGTTTAAGGCTGTTGTGTGATTTCTCTGAATACGCCACTTCAACCAGTCATTGTCTGATTGAGTGGCCTGTGCTGTCCTAAAAAGCCTATCCCTCTTGCGTGTCTCTCTTTTCAACCCTGATGTTATCCACGGCTTATCCTGGCTTTTGACTTTTACTTTTTTGCATAGTATGGAAGCTCTGGCAGCTGAAAGGAGGACATCTGTAAAATTTGCTGTTGCTTGGTCTACATCTCCATCAAGAACACTATTCCAGTCTGTTTCTAAAAGCATTGAGCAGAGTTTGTCAGAGTCAAGTCGGCTGTAGTCCCAAAACTCCCTGTCATAGTTGTAGTCAGTAGGCTGGGTAAAATTCAGGGAAATGAATAGAGGGAAATGGTCTATGCTTGAAAAGGGAGGCAGAGTGCCACTACTGGTTATGAGGGTGGGATCAGAAACAATGGCCAAGTCCCTTAAGTTTGCCACTCCAGTTCCTTGGTCTACACGTGTTGGCTCTGTAATCAGCTGAGTCAACTGGAGAGACATCAATTCCTCTTCAAAACGTTTTTCAAATCCTGTTACGGGACTGTGATTTGAGTACATTGGTAAAAGGTAAGTGTTTCCAAGATTAAAATCTCCCATGATTATAATCTGGGAGTGTGGGAGAGATTTTGCCTGAGCAAACCCCTCATTGAATGCGTCCAAGAAATCTAAAAACTGGTCAGCTAAGATATGAGGTGGCACATATGCACAACACACAAGTATGGTGTGATTTTTGATGCTGAGTTTACACCAGATTAGTTCAAAATCACCAACCTCAAGATCGGATAGTCTTTTAGTAGGAATGCTGTCCTTAACGTAAATAGCCACTCCACCTCCGCGCCTGTTACGGTGTTTAACAAAAGGTGAGTGAAAATGGTCAAGGGCATAAAGGGAAGGGTGAACATTGGCATCTAACTTAGTTTCGGTGGCACATAGCACATCAATGTTATGAGTCAATGTATGTTGAGAGAGCTCGTCTAGTCGGCAGTCAGAAGTGATAGAATTAACATTAACATGGGAGAAGTTGAGGAGTGAGGGAGGACATGTCAGCGGCGACAGCAGGGAGCCGGGGCAGGGACCAGAATTTTCATCACCTGCTATTCTGATATTCCCCATGGAAGAATTTACTGTACCTAGCCTAGGTGACTGGCGACTGACAGACACAGCCACAAGCAAGCGGGCCGGGCGGTGCAGTGAGGGCGGTCAGTACCTACAATCTACATGCAGTTCACCAATTCGTCATACTCTGCCACAGAAGCT